GGGTGGAGAGGAGGATTTTCTGGTGGTGCGTCTTTTTACATTGTATAGTGAGAAGAGGAAGTTTCGTTGGAGATATTTCTACGCCCAGGGCTTCAGGAGACTTTAATGCAAAACAATGATTCAAAAATCCGCATTTATATGCTTCTTAGGTCTACCTACCATCAGAGCTGGGATCGCTTAATTTCTCTACGTACTACCGCCTCCTTAATACGAAAGTTACGATCAGGTTGGATATAACGAGAAGCCAAGGAAGGAAGGAAGGAAGGGAATGCGAGAAAAGCGACTCGAGACGAAAATGCCGCTTGATTACAAGTCGAAGAAGTTCTTCAGGAGCGGTTTGGCTCAACAAATTTAAAGATATGCACCATACAAAAGGATTTGCATACATAATACATATTATAATAAGCGCTACTATTTAGATAGGACCAATTGTTTTCGTCTAATTCAGCTACAAATCCGTTATAGATCTACGTGCAAATCTTTTTAGATTGACACCACTAAAATAAGATATATAAAAGAGTTGAACACTCGAGGTTCCAAATCTTTTTCTTTTGCGCAAATTTGCTTGCGAATCTGTGCGCACCCCTACCCCCCTGTAGTGAGTTCTACTGTATTCCCCCCTACAGCATCCCCTCCTACAGCATCCCCCTATACTAACAGAAAGTAAAAACTCGGCTAATTTGTTACCGTAAAGCGTAGGCGCAAAAAGGGATACTATAAGCTGGGGTGGTAGGGTAACAGGGTAGGAGGGTAGGTAGGGGGTATAGATATATAAGTAAGATTTGCGCATGTAATTGAAAATCTTTTGTAGCAAACCAAACAGTAGTGTATATATTTCGTCCGATTAGTACAAATTGCATGCAGATCAGGAAACTTTTGTATGAGCTCTTGGGTCCTAGAACGCATGCAAAAATTTATGATTTATACCACATTTGCACCACATTTGCACCACATTTGCACGAATTAAATTCGCGAGCCAAACAGGCCCTCAGCTTAGATCTAGAGCTGAGCTGCTTCCATTCGCTTAATTCGCTACTTTGTTGCACGTCCTCACCTTCAATTGCCAGTCAACCACACCTCAATTCTTACCGATAACCACCATCCAACTTTGATCTGCATACCTTCTTGCCGACAACTTTGACCTGCATATATTCTCACCTTTTCAGTCTCCTCAATTGCTAGAGAAACATCTACTCATCAGTTCGCGAATCGATCTTATCTTTACAACCAACGTTTGTAGCTTCAGCTCTTGAACTCTCGAGACCAATTCATTTCAGACCTGTGCCCGACAAGCCTAGAAACAGTAGGTCTTTCCCCCCTTAACCTCCCCCCCCCTCCCCCACAGATCGAGACATCCGGTACCTTCGCATCAGAGTACCCAAAACCTCAAGACCACACAACTGACAAGACATGACTATATCAGACATACAAATCTATCAAAGATGGCGATTCACCCCGATCTTCCTGGCATCGAGGTGACGGTTTCAGTCGGAGGCGAGCAATTATTCGAGTACGCCGCAGAAAATGAACCACTCCCTAGGCCATTACCCAAAAATACTCGGAACAGAAAGAAGCTCTTGCATCAACACAAAGCCACAATCACTAAGTACATCGAGATCGTTGACGGAAGTGTTTTCACTATCAATCTATCTGCCAAAGCCCCGTACGTGTTGGATTGCCCCAAGCTTCAGTTCCGCGCATTCGTCGATAATAACTGGATCCGTGAGCCAATTATGACCCAGGATGATTATAAGGATAAGGACTGGAGTGATGTCGTCGAAGGTCCGGTTGGAGAAGTTGATTCCGGTCATCGGCCTATGATATTCAGCACGGTTGAAACGAGTGAGTTGATTTTTCAAAACTGAAGACGATCAAGACTGATGATGTATAGCGTCGGAACAATTCACCAAAGCCGTAGTCGCAGAGCATAAAGATAAAATGAGCGGCGTCGGCGAGATCATTGTTGAAGTTCATAGAAGGACCGAAGGTCGTGCAGCCAAACCATCAAAGGATGAGATTATCCGTGACTTCGAGGTCACTTACGAAGACAAGGTTCACGAGAAAGCTACCGCCCTCACTGCCACCAGCCATGGAACGACGTGAGTTGCCAAGCCACACCTCGCTTAACAGAATTAATATCCATATGCTAACTTGCCGCGATGTAGTTACGGCGTCGCCGCACGTGGAGACACCGAGTATAACCTAGGGGTATGGCAGACTGCGACGATCGATGGCGAAGACTTTATGCGTGCGCAATTTGTTTTCAAGTATCGTTCGAAGGGTAAGCTCATTCACAACCCCCATGCCCTGAGACTCCTCTTCCGCTAACGACAAAACAAAACAGAAGCCCTTAAAAAACTCCTCGTCATCCCGCGATCACCCAGCCCCGACCCCGAGCCCGAAGAGCTAGAAATCATCCATCACCGCAGTATCCAACCCCGAATTCGACGACCAGCCCAAGCCCGAATCGATGACGCAATCTTGACGGCGGAAGAAAAGGAGGAGCTGACCAAAAAACTTGCCGAAATGCGCGGGGTTAAGCGAGAACGGGAGGACGAAAATATCAAGGAGGAGTTGCTTACCGAGATGGACATTAAACGTGAACACCTGGGCGCAATCGATAGTGGTTTCGGAGACCAGGGAGAGCCGAGGCGACGAAAGAAACCGAAGAAGTGGACTGGCAAGACGATCGTGGATTTGACGGAGAGTGACCAGGAGATTGATCCGATTGTTCTGGAGTGAAATCGGGTGGGTGAGTGTTTGCTTTCGGCGCGAAATATGTTAGCGGGTCTACGAGGGGGTTTATAGCATGCGTGGGCGTTTGTGAATTATTTGGCATTCATTACCGCAGATTTCGGTGTCTGCGATTTCATAAAGTATGATGGGTCGTCTAAGGACAGCTGGAATGTAGTGGAGGCAAAAATAGGTTTTACCGTGTGATTATTAGGAAAACAAGTCTGGAGATATTCTAATTAAGATATTTAAGTACATGAATGTCGTGATACCAAAGTAGACAGCTCAGATCGTTTGGTCTATATTCCATGGCTATCATTGAAGGTGTAGGAAACTTTTGCTCCACGTTTTGTTTGAGCTAAAACCACCCATTTATGAGTTTTTTGCAATTTCTTGGGCGACGAGGCGAGGGCAAGTAGAATCACACAATAACAAGGAAGAGATGCGTAAAAAATCAATGTTTGATTTTTTATCTTGTTTATAAAGGATATAGATGTACTTGCTTTGAAAGCGGCGGAGTGTGAGGGTACAGACGTGGAGGAAGCGATGTGGCCCGTGCCCTTGGAACTGTAAATAGCCTCAGATCTTACGATCACTTCCACTCTTTGTAGACAATTTAGTTCTTACGCATACAGTTGACCTTGTCGCTATCGCACCCTTACACGGAACTAGTTGTTGAATAAAGTGCTTAATGTAAATATTCCCACAAAGAATAGGCTCCCTCTAATCCAACCTTACCAACAGCAATGTCTGATGGGAAATGGCCCCGGGGTAAGAAAACGAGTATTGGCGCCTTCATACACGACATTTACATGGCAGCATCGCTTAGTTTCAAAACGCAGAACGCCCCAGTGACTGGCCAGCCGAAGGTTACAGTATAAAGTATACGCTGCAAGGAAGGAAACTTTCAATCCGGCAAAATCTGGATTTTGTGTGGTCATTTTTCCGGTATTCTCTGAGTTGTTCCTTCCCACGCTGTTCTTATAAGCCGAACAGCGTGGACAAGTTTTCGCGCGCCGGTTCAATGAAAGAATGAAAGAACGACCCAGAGCAAGACCCTTCCCAGGTTCCCTTATCTACTGATCCTCTCGCATCTCTCAATGCTTTCTCAAACAAAGCATCGTTCTCCACCACACCACCACACCACCACACCACCACTCTTTAAACACCACAGAACATTATCCAGCATACATCCACACTTGTGTCGCATCAAAGAACATCATCTCAAAAGGCATCGAGGAAGGGGAAGGAAGATCCCATTTCGGTTTTCGGATTTTTCCAGCCTTATGTCACTCAATGTGTTTCTTCCCCGTATCTGTGTTGGTACGAGAGATACTCGTAAATAAGGGTACAAAACAGTAATAACAAGTGCATAAAAAGGTTTGTATAATTGTTGATTAATTGATATTGAAGTCAAAAGACGAGTACTGAGTTAGGTACTCGTAAAGGCTAAGCTTTTAGATATCCATGTGATAAAGTGGTGGATATATCGTAACACTGGCGGTACTTTACAAAGTGGTCAAAATAGCCGAAGACCAGTAAACGTACAATAATCAATCGATGAATAACCACAAAATAGCTCGCTTTCAATCTCGTTCCACCCACCCAATTCCGTTGATTTCAATATAATTTATATCGATCAATCGCTTCAAGGCTCCACTCGACTCTAGTTTGGTCATGAAGTCGGCCGGATTATCTTTGCCTTCAATCCAGGTGATATCGTCGATATCCCTCGATTCGAATTCGTTACGTAACGTAAAAACATTATATCAATCATTAACTTCTTCTCCTTAGTCGTTCCCAATTTGGCAATACAGTCGAATATCGACTTCGAATCAGTATTTATTTCGAGTGGGATATAAATATTGAGGCATCGTATCAAGGTGGTCTTTACACATATGGCCATATCGTACCCCTGGCTGACAGAGTATAGCTCTGACGCTAGAACGCTTCGGGTAACTCGCTTGCACTTTGTAGAGTTATACAAAATACTAGCTTCTCCAGTGCCGTACTTCAGTATCAATACCGATCCTAGATGCGACGTCATGTCCCTATTGTTCGCAAAAGACCCGTCTATAAAACAGACCAACTTAAGTGTGCCGACTTGTAGGTGTACGAACTTCAGTCCTCGGTCCTTGTGATCGATTTGCCACTGTAATCGCTTGTTAAGTTAATCGACGTGCCCATCGTCTGGATGCGTGATTTGTACGGCGAAGGATAAATCGCATGCCGCTTCAGGTTGGCATACCCTCGATATATACGCTCCGAGGGCTCGAAGTGCCTTATGGTCTTCTATTATAGCGAGTTTCAATCGATCTTCAGTTTTATCCTTTTGCGTAAGTACAATCGATCCATCTTGCTGTAGCGTAATTCGACTTCCGTTGAAATCCATAGGTTGTTCCACTGTAAGAGCCTCGCGCAGCTTGGATTTGAGTGGTGGATTCGCGGTGGCAAATTCCACTTCTTCTCGTTCAGCAAATAGCGCATTTGCCAGTATAAGTGAGTCGTCAGTTTGCAATCCCACCATTTCGTAGGGTGATTTTGTATACTCGAGAAGTGTCGGCTCGAGGAGGAGGTCTCTGTCGAAGAGGAAGGTGCTCTGGTTATCGTATTACTCTTCTAATAAGGGTGTCGGTTCGAAGGAGGGGGGGGTTCCGTAGGCGTTCCGTATGTTCCAGAAAGTAGGATAATCGTCGAATTTGCGTCTCTCGTCGTCGAACAGACGAGTGCAAATAGTTGTAGATGACTCAAATAGCTCACTTAAGAGGTCGAGCATTGACGTAGCGTAGCGCGTGCTATTACTGCGACAGTAATAAAGTCCTTGCTCTTTGAGTCCTGTCCGAGGGCATGCTCTACTGCGACAATAGAGGGCTTGCGTGTAAGTCGAAGACAGGAACCAAGCTAATAAGTGTTCCCAAACCAAGTTAATTGATCTGTGAAACACTGATCAGTGTTAGTATAACTTGGTGGGATAATAAGGGTACGAATAGTAACAAAAGTAGGACGATGAAGGACAACCAAGGGTACAAAAGTAGTAGTAGTAGATGATTGATTGTGTATCGGTTACGTAGAATCCGGGCGTATATATAGCCCTGAATATCACGTGAATAAACACGTGAATATATCGTAACAAATGTAAACCCTCCGGAGCCCCAGCCCCCTAGCCAGGGATCTTCCAAGAGAAATAAGTCACTATTGTATACCTACAGTGGTGAGTTTCCAGTGTGCCACCCACAGCCCATAATACCCTACCTAATCAAAAAAGGAAGAAATGGCCGAAAAAAAGACGGCAAAAGAACCTACGCCCTAGGGGATGGCTACAGTAGGTTCGAAACTAGACGAACTGAGTTTATCATTTTTTAGCTTAGCATCCGCATGTGCCTGTGGCGGCGCGCACTCTTTCTCTTCTTTTTTCCATGATCGCAACAGTTAGTGGTGTTGGTGCTTATGAGTTAGCACTTCTAGGTATATATACCAAATGAATGAGCTAGGCGAGCAGGTCTAATCACAGTTTTGGTGACGGCAGCTGCCTTATTTGGGGATATTGATATTGTTTTGCGACTTTTGTAGGAATTTGAGTAAGCGAGGGATTGTGATTGGTGGAGCGGGTTGACGGGTTGTTCTTCAGTTGTTGTATTGTTGATTCCCGTCTACTCTAGGGATTATCGCATACCGAGGTCGCGTGGAACTGTCGAGTCTGAATGGGAAGAATCAGCCTGCTAGCAAGTGAGTACTGTTCGGACAGTCTGGCGGGGGGGAGATAGAGGATATAAAGAGATGGCAGGTAGGCCCTACTAAAGAGCATCCTAAATTCCTATTATTCTGCTATTTCCCCCTAAATATTAGAGGGAATTCCTTAGGACAGTCTACGACTAGCTTAACTTTCTTGCTAAGATACAAGAATGAAAGCGTGAGCCTTCCCTGGAAAATCAGCCATACCGATACCTACCCGATGAAAGAACAAAGCAACAATTCCTTAGCCATCTGATCTTAAACAAGACTCGTTTTTACTCTCGGTACTGTATTGATCGATCTTTTCCTGAATAAAATATTCGAGGATTTATATATAGGGAGGCCACTAATAGCTAAACATTAGGTAAGTATGGCGGACGATTAGGTTATAATCGGTAATGTTGACGAGGTGTATGCAGCAAGGTACGAGTACTTGGAGCTAACAACGTCATACAGCAGTAGTGATGTTGAGGACGACTCGCCCAACGTCCCGACTCATCCTCTGCAGTCAGATCATTGGCGCAATATATGCACCTAGCACATACGTGCAGCTACGGGCTTGCCATTGCCCGTCCTCTCATATTACGAATAGCATCAGCACAATTTACGTAGTTGAACGCGGACGGGCTTTTCAGCACAGATTTCAGACCAGCGCTGTGAGGCCTTCCTCGGACCTCCCACAGTATGTGCACGATCGATCACCTCAACGTCTTACCGGCGAGAGAAGGCTGTGTTGAGCAATTGGTTGGATTCATAGACTCGATTTATCCAATCCTACTTTGAGGAGAGTCAGTGGAGTCATGGATTAACTGTAAGGTGTTGTCTGCACTCGGGAACAATTCGAATATCGCCGTTTTTGAGCATATACATGCACTTTCAGGCGCCCCCTTTGTTTTCGTCGGTGCTCTACGTATTTATTTCATTGGCTAAATATCCTCCGCTACCGTAGGTATCACAGAGCGCGGAGACATACATGCAACACCAGGGCGTAAGCAATTGCGAACAAGGTAGTTTGGTTTGGTATAAGACCGGGAGATCTCTGCTTCGCCTCAACTCGCTGCTTACCCTCTTTCATTGCTTTCATTCCGTCTCAAAATGAAGTTCTCGGCATTCGTGAACACATTCATTTTCTCGCTTGCCCTAGCATCATCGTCGTTCAATCCCCATCCCTTCCCAGCAGCGCCCAGTAAACGACAAGTGGAACTCTCAAATACTAGTTCGCTACAAGTGGATCTCGGATACTCAGTTTATGAGGGGATTCTTAATCCCAATGATAGTCTCAAAGTGTGGAAGGGAATTCGGTTCGCGAGCCCTCCAACTGGTGAACTGAGGTGGCAAGCTCCTCGGCCTCCCGTCGAAAATCGAAGTTCAGTGATCTTGGCAGACCGTGTTCCAAATCAATGTCCCCAGTCGCTTTACAATAGAGGTAATCCGCAAGGCAATCTTGATTTTGCGAATACACCAGGACAGTCTGAGGATTGCTTGTTTTTGAATGTTTTTGCTCCACTGGATGCTCAGAACCTCCCAGTGCTTGTATGGATCCATGGGGGTGGCTATGGAGAGGGGAATGGAGACAATGATTTGGGACCAATCATTGCTACGAACAATAATACCTTCATTGGTGTTGCTTTTCAATATCGGCTTGGAGCCTTTGGGTTCCTGGCGGGTGATGAGGTTGATAGAAATGGGGTCGTGAATGCCGGGATCAGAGATCAAACTTTTGCATTGCAATGGGTGCAGAATTATATCCATTTATTTGGGGGTGATCCCCGCAGAGTGACGATTTCGGGGGATAGTGCCGGTGGGGGGAGTGTGATGCTTCAGGCGATGGCGTATGGGGGAGAACTCGGAACCTCGCTATTCCAGAATGTAAGTTTTGGTTTGCCTTTTGTTCAACGATGAGGACTTACCTTTCGAAAATCAGGGGATTGCTGGATCGCCTTTTCTTCCCATGCAGCACGAGTATAATTCTCAGGTTCCAAGTCAGTTATACCATGATTTTGCTTCAGCTGCGGGTTGTTTGTCAGGTAACGCCTCCGGGAGTCCCTCAGATTCACAGAGTACGTTCCAATGTCTTGTCTCTAAGGATTACCCCACACTTCAGAATGCAAGCTCCATGATTGGCGGTTCTGGGGTATTTGGAACGTGGGCTTTTCTCCCAGTAACGGATGGGAAGTTTATACAGAAGGCACCAAGTGCGCAATTGCTTGAGAAAAAGGTCAATGGTTTGAGGATTCTTTCTGGCGTCTGTACTTCTTTGCCCTTGTTTACTGCATTCATTGACGTACTGATATTCTGGGTTAGAACAATGCGCTTGAAGGGCCGCTATTTGTGGTACAGAATATTACTACTGAAGACAGTCTCGTAACCTTTGTGAAAACGGTGTTTCCTCGCTTCAGTGATAGCGATGTTGCGAAAACCTTACGGTATTATCCTGGAAGGTGTGTGTTATTTGCATAACTTTGATATCAATATTAGATCTTAAGATCGTGTCATATCAACCCTCCACTTTAATATCAACTCCAGTGCAAGCCAAAGATGCTGACAGCATGCAGTATTGATGCAGACAGCACAACAGCCTCAAAGTACGGTACGCTTGGTGTTACAGGTCCAACCGCAAACGAAGTATCGGCAATAGCAACTGGACACCAGCAACGCGCCAATGTGTGCTCTTTCCTTTCAGTCATATAGTTCTTTCCTAACAAAACTTCTAGAACATCTATGGTGAGGTGACTTTCGTATGTCCCAGTTATTGGCTGGCAGAAGCATACGATCCCAACAACGGACATGCAGCCTACAAATACCAGTACTCAGTCCCCCCAGCTCTCCACGGTATGGATGCCACAGCATACGTCGGACCAGCAGCAAGATATCAAGGGCCTGACCTCTTGAAGGCTTTCATGAGTACGTATTTCACAACCCATATTTTTGAAAGCAACTTTTGCTGAATGAGACCTCCCTAGCGATCTGGGGGAACTTCATTACTGGAAATAACCCGTCAATCTCATCTTCCATCGCCATTGGCGCCTCTTCCCATGGCAATATCTCATTATTTTCTACCGCAACACAGTTGAATGTCACTAACTGGCCACCATACACCAATGCCTCGCCATTGCAATTGAACATTAATCAAACTGGAGGGCAAGAATTTACTGATGTCGGTGTTAATTTTATGGGAGAAGACAAAAATGTTACCGCGTATGAGGGACCTGGGTTGCGAAATAACTTCACGTTGGTCAATGCTTTTGACTGGGAGGGTAGGAGAGGTTTGAGGTGTGATTTTTGGAGGGCGATGGCTACGCTTGTGCCAGCGTGAGGATTCGGTTTTGCTGTGTGAGATACCTAGTCATTACTCTATACACACCAAATTAAAATATTATACTAAACTTCTAGACAAGTTAAATGATTGTATTGGTATACCTAGGCAGGTACGAAGTAAGCCTTAACAATTATTCAAGTCTCTTGATATAAATATTGTGGTTACTCAAGTATCTGCTGTATATGAGACATGTTCGTTCCTCCGCAATCTTATATACCTCTCTCAAAACAGTATTATCCTAAAATTCCTGCGTATCTACCTAGTAATAAGAGAAGTTGTTAATATGCTGAGATTGCAGTAGCGGTGACAAATATCAGGCAAGGCTTTCTGGTGCAAAACCACTGCCGCCTGCGATGCGTTTAGTGATCAGCCTTAGGGGATGTTACCACAATGGTTGAAGGTTCGTGGGGACTTGTGATTCGCTGAATTTGCGTTGCGCTAAGCAATTTTTCAAAGGAGGTATAGTATCTTATGACTTGACAGAAAGTCGAAGATCTATGCCCGTAGTTAGCATGCAGCCTTTCCAAATTGAAGTGTATTGGATAACTGGCATTAGCCCTTTATTTGAATATTGACTGTATTGGGGGAATGCGCTCTTAATGGAGACCACAAGCAAAGATAACGTTATCTGCTAAAGTTTACTGAGCAGCAGGACCTCCGCTCTACCCAGTTTAGATGTCATGCCAATCGATATAATTCAACAGTGATGTTGTGAACAGATGGTGGTACAACTAGAAGTTGTAAAGAGCTCTGTCAGCAGGTTCGGATTTAAAAAGTGGGTCTTGTGGCTTAAGCGAGAACCCCTTTTTCAACCATCACCACCACCACCTACATCTAACAAGAGCCTAAGATGTGCCTTATCTTCTATTGCAGTCGATTTAAGCAAATAATTGTGCAACGACAAGAATGGTGCTTTTTTCCCACAAAGAATTGTTCACATGCAATCACTGTTACAAATACTGTCGCACCACTTAAAGGAACTCTTAGAAGGAAACGAAATGAAGGAGTGACAAAAGGTCCCGTTCATATCGCTATATCTTTACTCCAGTATCTGTGGCTTTCCCAATGTATCAACAGAGGACGCCCTTCCTTCAAAGCCAAAAGAATCAAGCTTTGTAAGTGACAACCAATGTGTCCCAAGAGAATACCAGTTTCATGACCAACTTTATAATGGTTCTTTATAGTAAAATCCACTCAAAAAAGAAAGGTACGAGCCTCAGCACTCTCTTCCAAGTATCTGTCGCCATTTATGCAACGTCATCTCTCCAAAGTCTTCTTTCCCACCGTGTCAAATCTGCCTTTGTGGCTTCGATGGCGTCCCATTTACTTTCTATAATCTGGATACCCCGTCTGAGAGCAGTACTTCTCCGTTCTAGCTCTCTTGTACCAACATCAATTAGCGTAGCCATTGCCAGGAGTACGTTCATTTAATTTTGTGTATCAGCGAACGCCACGCCTCGTAATCGTCGGATATCATCAGCTTCGTCAGCGATTTGTCTCATGGTCGCGTCGCGGTATAGCTGCGCAGCTTGACGCTCTCTCAGTTGCTGTCCCTCGAAGGCTCGTCTCTCACTCGCAAAGGCCATTTTGGCAGCGTTCAACCGGTCCATCTCCATAGCAATGTTCTGCCTATCGGTCAAGTGCTGAAGCGAGGTATTCTGCAGTCCCAGTTCTCTTTGTACCAGCCCCACTCTCGCCAACTCCAGCTCCGAGGCTACGATACGCAGTCTGTTCTTCTCGAAGTTCGAGGCTTGGTTTCTGGTGGTGTAAAGGTCGAAAAGGGCTTCGGTACGGCGGCGGAGGGCATCTTGGTCTTGTCGAATTCTTGCGATGACTCTGTGGTAGCTTTGAGTGTTCCTGGAACGTAGCCGACGGCTCAGGAAGAACCAGATGGGCACAAATAGCATGAAGGCGCAAAGCAGCCCGCCAATAAAGCTTCTTTGGTCGAGAGGCATATCGTGCAGAAAGTGGTTCTGGTTCTTGAAGGCAGGGCTTTGGATGGTTGGGATTGACGTAAACGTAGTGGAGGTTGTGCTTGCGCTTGTGCTTGTGGTGGTTAGCATAGAAGCCATTGGTGCTATAATTTGGCCGATCTGGCGTGTTGAAGAGTTCAGCGATTAGTCTTTTGAATGTGTTAGGGCCAAAACAACGGCCAAACACTCACAACAATTAGACAGTGAATCTTTTAAGAATCTTTTAGGACATTGAATCTTCAAGAATAGTGAATGCTTATCGGCAGTGAATATGTGAAATTGAAGTTAAATTTGATAGAAACTTTGTCTATATAAAAGAGTTTGCTGAAGGAACTAAAACAATAAAGATATGTAGACTATATTAAAATATATTCTGTTTTATTATGTTTAATATTTTAGTATAGTATATCTGGTTAAAGTATATTTATGAAGTAATTAAGCAAACAGGAAAGTCAAACGTAAAATAAATTAATAAATATAGGAGATATTTACTCTGTTGTACTAATATATCGTAAATATATATATAGATAAAGAACTAGTAATCGATTATTTAACTATATCATATGAATAAATACAGTAATAGTAAACTTATTAAATACTTACAACTGTTATAAAGACAGCTTTTGTTTAACTTAACAATTTAGAAACAGGCTAAATAAGACATGACTTAGTTTCTACAAAGAGCTACTTTAATATTTCGCTCTACATTTCTATACTTTTGTTTATTATAATAACTAATTATTACAAGCCCACAACTATAGAGGTAGAAATTAGACATAGTATACTAGAAAGCTTAAAATAAAGTAGCTCTAGTATCTGGCTTGTTTTGGTTACTTATATCCTGGTCGCTTAATTTCTTTAATTATTTAAAAAAGACCAAAATACTTCTAGTAGCCTTACCCCGCCGCCATTTTCCCCTTTGATTTCTCTATGAACACTAAGAATATATAGTCCTCGTGATCTAGATGTCTGGTTTTCAGAACGTTAATGCGGTTTTATCTAAAAGGAAAACAACTAGCTCTTCGTTCATTCTGGCAATAGATACGATGATTGCAACCTTAATCTCACAGCCACAAGCACCGTCGAAAGGGAGTGCCTCCAAAGTTTGCCGTTTCGCGGCGGTAATATTTGTAAGATGATCACAGCCTCGAATGTGGGTGGCTATTAGTGGTTGGTTTTAGAGAACCGGCTTCGTGCTCTCAGACATCTTCAGTCTTCGACACAGGAAAAACGAGAGAGACGTTAGAATTCACCTAAGGTTTATACAGATACAAGGTTGCGAAGGACAAACATTTCGCTTGATTTGATCCATTCTTCGTCAACTCACCATGATAAATGCTTCTCCTATCTGCTGGTCCACTCTTTCTTTAAATATTCATGACGGATGGAAATATTCGAGATATGCAGGTATAAATTTATCTCAAAATCAAATTGAAATATCTTAGGTCTTTTGTACTATTGAGCTATAGGGGGGCTCTAAAGGAAGCACCCTTTTATAAAAGATCGCTATCGCTTACAGGTTCTACAATAAGGGCCGTAACTGGTCTGGATTACTAACTACCGCGTTTTTTATAAGCAGATAAGCCCCGAGCGCATATTACTGTTGCCTTGATTGGTCTTGTATCACAGTCAATATCGACTAAGAGAATGAATACTTCGAAATAACGAGTTGTCAAGGAGTATATATTTACGAAAGTAGTAAACAAGACTTGACATTTTTGCGGTAAAGATTACAGAGCTTCACAGCCTCATTCCTCTGCCTAGCTGACACTCTCAATGCTTTCAGATTCTTCTCGTGCCAATGGTGGTTTTGGGGATTAGCAGTCCAATAGGGGGATGCCTGGTCATCTTACTTAGCATGGCACTGCCTCGAGATAATATATGTTAGCATCCTCCTCGTGATTGATACATTTGCTCCACTCGCACTCACTCTCGTCCACCAGCCCGATGCCGATGATGTTCTTTGAAGTGTGGGTGTAGCCCCCGACCAAATGTTGAATTGTGCATCGCAACCTTTTAATATAACTCAAAAGTGAAATCTAGGAGTAAATTGTCTATTTATTAGAGAGATTCTGAAATGTCTTAACGGTCGTCAAGACACCCTTCTGGGTCGGTATCATTCTATATTACCTTATCTAGGATATAATCTAGGAACCCCGATTTTCGCTTCTCGCTAAGGGCACTTGCCAGCCGGTAAATCACGCGCCATATTTTTAAGCCCAATAACAACAACAACAACTCACAAGATCATACTATCTGATAGCTATAAAAAGCCCTGATGGACAATAAATTACCAAGCTGAGACAAATGAGTGTCGATTGTGACAGAAATTCGAACACCGTAGACGCAATCTTCTACATAGTAACAAATGTTATTATGTGCTAGTCACGCAAGGCATTCCGCTCAAAAAATTGAGTACATACTGCCTTACCTTGCTTACTATTGAGCAATAGGGAACCTCATGGGACCGTTTCTTCATCGAGGCCAAGAGACTGTCATCAATATGAAGTTGCGCATTTGATACATAGACTGACCCACACCTGATGGTTCGATATGCCAATGAAAGCAAATCTCAACCGACTGTGCAGACCGTATCAAATTTCTGTGCTGTCGTGTGCGAATCGCCCAAAGATGGATAATGGGGCTGAGCAAAAGTATTTACATGGGGCAATGCAACCCTTTGGGCACACCCACGTTTTGACAGTATGCCTTAACCACCAAAAAATGCACGTAGCCCCCCAAAACACGAGCGTTTAACATATTCTTGCTATTTGGGACAATCTCATCGGTGTATATTCAATTACTAGATTATTTTCCTTTTGTTTTCATCGCTCCGCCGCCCTTGGCAACGTCAACAACCAATCTGTCTTGAAGAAAATATGTTCGGGCGCACAAGATATCTGAATTTAGGCAGCCGCTTGTCCACAAATCTGCCTCGATGTTAGACAGTCTTTTTCGGGGCGCAAATTAGGGGCTGCAGCGGAGTTCACATATAACGGCGCACATCTGTGTTAGATATATATCTCTCAGGCCCTTTTCACTTCAACCGTCGGTGTTTCCTATACCTATCGCAAAAGAATCTTTAATCATTCTTTAAGCCAAAATGACTCCTAAGAGAGATGGATCCGATTTTGACGATGGTCCTGGTTGGACGGTGTGTCTAGCGCGGGTGAAAATTCGTGGATATGATTGGTTGGTACGTCCAAATATTCCAGCTTTCTCATTATTTTCTTGCCGGGTCGTGCGTTCAAACGTACTATTCATAGAGTGGGAAACAGAATGCGGCTTTTGCCTTGTACATTATTGCAGTTGTGGTTTTGATCGCATGCTTGGTACTTGCAACACGCTTCAAGTGGGTTCGAAAGGCAGGGACGGATAAATTGCGACATGTAGGATATAAATTGGCGACTTCATTTGCATTGATGTAAGAAACATTATTTTAAGTTCACGAGTTCCGCTGATATTATCACAGTTACTTCCTTCTAAGTATCATTGTCATCGCTTTGTTCGAGACCAGAGCAGCCGTTGTCCATCTGTTTTATATCGTCTACATTCTCGAATCTTGTTTTCGGCGAATTTCTGAGATATTGATACTTTCCATTATACTTCGGAAGCTCTACGAAAGCTCGTCTTCGAGGATGGTCCGTGGCTTGCCTGCAATCAATGGCGTGGCCACAACAATTTTGGCCTTGGTCTCATTGGCGGGGTTTGGTCTGTATACTGGGTATGTCGCTACTGGACTGATTGCGACCTATTCATATGGCTATGGCGATGAAGTTCCCGTTCCTCGATTTTATGGAGCCTCTGTAGATTTTGGATACAATATCCTCTATCTTATTGCTACCGTTATCATTGGGGTATACTCGGTGCTTACTCTTATTGAAGGGCGCTCAAAGGTAGATCCTCACACTTCTCGTACCATCAAAACGTGCTTCAGCTGAGCAGTCCGATACAGGCGACTCTATTGATGGCTACCGTTGTAGCACCGGCTCTCGTTGTTCGCAGCTTATTGGGCGCAGTCTCGCAAGGCGAAAACACATTTCTTAACATAGACACGCGGGAGCAGCTCGACAGCATACTTGCGCTCTCATGGGCAAGCTCTTTTATATATGTACTCACGGCATATCCGATATTCCTCGGGGTTGCATTCATTGGGTGCATTAAACCTCAGAATCTGAATTTCCTATCTGAGCAGAAGCCCACTCCGTCCCAGAGCGATCAGAATGCCCTACCAGCTGAGTACACACATAACGAAGCATCAAAATCCCATCACTGTACTACACCAGTCTATTCCAACAGTCAAGCCCCGAAAAGTTATCCAGATGGGCAATCTGGGTTCAACGCCACGGCTCATACTCAGCCATATGTCGTCTGATACCACCGCGAGGATTTGCTGATCTGAAAGGAAAGCACGGGAAAATCTGGAACAGGCTTCAGATCGCTCTTAATTTGGATACGTTAAACGGTCTTTTTTTGTTGGTTGTCGTGTGGTGTTTAATTTACATACCTTAATTACCAGTCGCTTTTTTCTTCACGGACCTTTGCAAGGCTAGGAGGAACCCATTCTGGTGGATTAATTTTGAAACGGTCGATAGTTTGAGATTTCAGTATTATGATTCGGCAACTACATGCGACGATTTACATACACTCTCTCTTATCCAACGCGAATCTTATAAATTAGGCCATGTGATCACAGTGTGGATGGGCTGAGCAAAAATGCTATTAAAATTGCAGTTAACGGGACCAGACATTTTTCAGGAAGCATCGGCGCTTCCCACTAGCTATGAAAATTATCGTATCACTCGAAGTTGATTTACTCCTATCAGATCCGTCGGGTAAAAATCGCTCGAAGACACTATGAAAAAAGAGGTTGAGGTTCGGATAAGGCTTCTCTGGCAACAACGTAAGCTATTCGCTTAACGACAAGGGAGATCACTTTACGAAAATACCCGTACGACTCTGGGGGCAAATCTTAATTATACGACAAAAATCAATTGTCTTTCACGTGAATCTGGTTGTTAGATTAATAGTATTTTGAATCAAGATGATAAGCTTTTAGGATTATTCTGAGCCTACTTTTAGTAGTAAAATGAGCCTCAAAAGAGGCTAGAAAGGGAGCAGAAAGATGGAATTTCTAGGGAGAATAGGTTTCTATCTACTAGCCCTTTTGTAAGATTATACTTTAGTAATACAAAACACTCGCCGTTTCCCTATCTAGGTAAAATTTCCGCTAACTATAGTTGTATTAGGAGATACTGCTTGGCATAGTTAAATTGTATTAGAAGTCTTCTAGGAACCTTAGGCTTCTACTGTATTAGCTGGAAACACTACGGAATGAGACGTCACCCCTGCTAAAGCTTCTTGGCATAACAGTAAAGGATATCAACTTTTTTCTTATAGTAGATAATGCAAATTACATGATGAGGTCTCATGATACATAATCATGATAACCCTACAGGCGAAGCTTTTTTATGGGGAAGAAGAGCTGGGCAGAAACGCAATTGTAATTCGAAGTAAAGCCAAAAGCACGCCGGAGTAGAATTCCGGAGAAGAGCCTCCTTAAGGAAGGACAAGCTTTCAAAATAAGATACCGACAGATCTCGTATCCTACTTCGTAAATGTCCAGCTCAATAGGCAGTTATCCTCACGCCCGAGTCTTTTATTCCTGCAGTTGATTTGAGGTAGCAATTGCCTGGCCTCAACTAAGGATCGACTCTTAACGTTTTGAGGGATAGAGCATGAGATCATACCACGGTGTACATAAATGTACAGTACGAAATCAATACTCGGGGTTAAAACAGGTCTACGATGTGCCCATAGAACATGTAATCAGGGCGGCCCCATAGGATTCATCCCGTCTGAAAAGAAGCTTCCTCCTTCCCCGTTTTCGGGATCTCCTTCGGATCAAAAGTGGGTCAAAATCGCTGCTTTTTGGCCCGAAGGCCGATCCAACTTACATCAATTCCATTTCGAAAGGTATGGTCACTTCATGTCCTAGCATGTTTCTTGCCAGTACTGATAACAATGGTCAAGAATTAATGATCACAACTTGAAGGGAATAGTGCATGCATGTAAGACACACACATTTTGATTTTTCCCCCGCTATCTGCAGTATCAGCCATAATCAAATATAACATCTCAACAATACCCCAACGCCAGTCATTCCTTATCTGATCTCGTTCCTGTCTTCGTTATAATTTACATTCTAGATCTTCTATAATGACCTTGCTAATTATGTGCCATTACCCATTTTAAATTCTCCTATCGCCCTAGTTCTCCAAACCAGTAACCCACTCCAAACCTCCGGTAACATGCTTAACGAAGTAATCCTCTGTGTAACTCTCATTGGTGTGGCCCATTCCGGTATACCAAGCTCTGCTCTTTCCTTCGAACATGCTGTACCAACTGATTGGGTGCTCTGGGGTCATTCTCAATAGCGCAGGTGAGTTGGCATCAATGTAATCCTCGTTGATCTCAGCAAGAACATGGTAAGTGGCGTCTTGGGTTGGGTTCGTCTTGTATGAGTACCATTCATCTGTGCGCAGTTGAGAGACTGGGAGACCACGGGTCGATGGATGAGTAGCGTCAGTAATGTTCACTGTATCGGGACGGATGGTTCCATCAGGTGGATAGGAGGCAACCTGGGCAGGACTGCAGATTTCATCGATCCAGCATGGGTGGGAGGCAAACTGAATTGCATCAGTACTCGCTCTGAATAAAGAAACTTTTATCTTTACTTACCTGACCACCCACGAGCGTGTTATACCAGTCCGGCATCCCATTTCCGAAATCGCCAGCTAAAAAGCAATTAGTCGACTTTCTAAAGTTCAAGAAGGGACAAGACTAACTGGCGTGGATTCCCAACCAACTACCTCCGTTTTGCAAGAATTCGTGAAGAGCGTCACTCTCACTGGCGTTCAAGAAATCTCCAGTGGTGGAGATAAAAACCAAAGTTGTGAAAGGGCTGAGTCCCTCTTTTGTGAAGATTGAAGAATCTTCAGTGGCGGTTACGGTCCATTGTTTAGCATCCGCAATTGAGCTGATGAGATTGATGCCGTGTGGGATACTGATATAAAAGTCAGTATCTAGGAAGGTTGAGTGAAAGTGTATGTACCTCAAATGTCTGTAGCCCGAGGTCTTGGTGAAAACCAAAAGGTTTGGCTGAACTGTGAGATGTTAGATAACTTTACATATTACTGTAGCACGGGGTAGAATTACTAGCTTGAGCAACGCTAGACGCGAGAGCTGCCATTGCAGGTAAAGTAAATGCTGATCTCATGATTTTGGTTGTTGGGTGGCTGATGGATCGTTGGGAATGCGTGTATGTTGCAATAGAGCGGTTTATTGATTGATGTAGAGATGGCTTCCATTTGATGGGAGTCCCTTTGCCTTATATACTTCTAGGAACTCATCACATCGGCTAGATTGCCTTGTAAGTAACTCATAAAGGACTCCATTCAAGCCGTCACAAGTCTCAGTGGGTCCGGTAAATTCAAGAGTTCTGCTCGCGAATCCACTTTCTACTTGTAAGTATGGAAGAATTCCAAAGGAAGAATTCCATGGGTCACGCTCTACGTTGGTCATCATTCTCCTAGCTAAGAACCATCTAGGCCCAGCAATTGGTCCACCAAGGGAATAGACTGTTGTCCTTGGACCCAGTTTTAGATTTCTGGGGTGAGATTCGATGGTGTCGGTAGAATTACCCTGACTATATCTCCACAATTTCCACAAGTTCCACTATTCCAGGACAGCTCGCCTAAACTAGAAGGTATCTAGACCGATAAGCAACCCCCAGGTGGAATTTCAATGGGCAAGTGTTCGGAACTTCTCAATTTGAAGAGCATGCAAGCAAGTCGAAAGAGAAAAAATTGCAGATGTCGATAAGTGGCAAATACGAAGAGGTTCGATTTTCGTCTAACGAAGAGAGGAAAGTCCGAAATCGACATCGAGTAACGTGGTCCGCTAATCTGAACTGTAGGTGTTTCTTTCATGATTACAAGTGGCAGGGAAGAAAGTACATGGCAAGTGGATGAGTTTGACTCAAAACACCATTTTGAAGACTACTCGCATGTACACGTACTACATTGAGACTAATGCCCTCGCACAAATCCACCTTCGCAGCTATTGACATTTCAACCTATTCCTACCCACTTTTGAGCGCAGATTTCTCAGATCACCCTCAAGCATGAAATGGCCAAACTTGAATCTCTCGCGGATGAACCATCTCAGTAAACTCAGGGTCCAGAAGGTTCAAAAAACCATGCAGATTCTATGCCAACTTCTTGAAATAGGAAAATGGCAGGCATTCCGCTGATTAGGACATAATGAGGTTCGCCTAGGAATAACATCATTCCGCTTTGACTGTAATACCGTAGTACATCGAACTTAACAAGTATGCCGGGGCGTATAGGTGGAGTACAGAATGGTGTCTCGGGGTATGAACTGGAGGCTCCTACTCGCTAGAAGTTCTTCTTAGGCGTAGTACACTGCGGCAAGCGGGGCTTGTAGAAAGCTGTTCTCTGAATGGCCTGAAAAGTAGTCTTGCCAACTTCTGCTGCTCCACCCACCCACGGCAGCATACTTGTCTCGTCAAGTTCAATTCTTTACGGTATTTGATACTGATAATTCAAGCTTCCGCCACTATTTCTTGATTCCATCGTAATCGTATTGCATTAGTTCCTGGAAAGTGGATACATGCACCCCACTTCAATGTGCATGTTTGGGGGTAACATTTTGGAGGGGTTGTGGATTGCACGAATCAACATGCAATGGAACCAGCAAGGAAAACTCTAAATCCAACATCCACATGTATTACTGGCTGTATAACAAGAAGAGAACGTCACCTCGGCTCACACAACCTGACCTTCAATCAAGTTCTGTATTCCAAAGCAGTTTGCCACATAATGCGGCCTTTTCCTTTCTTCAAGGGATAATTAGAAGTAGAGCTGTCCACTTTTTGTTTGGACCCTGAGGCGAACCTTCAAAACCGCTCAATAGAACTGTGCTCCCCAAGATTGTTACATACGTACTACTGTGACTATTCACAATATTTAGAAGTCGAAGTCGATATTTGTAGTTACTATTTCTTTAAGGGATATTAAGCAGAAATCAGAAGCTAAGTAGAGCCAAATTGAGTAAAAAGATCGCTTAATTTTCCCAAAAGGGTGGATGTAAAGACAAAGGACGTCAAGTCCAGCGGCTCTACCCTCAAATTGCATACCCTGTCATATACTGTAAGGCTTGTTAAGACGTTAGTCTATCGGCAGTAAACCTTTTAACCTTAGCTTTACCGGTACTAGGGCAGTTGTGTCGGAGTAAAACGCTTCCATCATTCGATTATTCTTCCCATTAATCGTACGTGCACTATAGCCCTAGACTTATACACCAGTAGGATCCCAGCTTCACTATGCATGATCTTGACATGTTTTGTGGAACCACTTGAAGTTACTTGAGTGGATGGGTTGCTTCCAATCCTGTTGGCTTTACTCAATGCTTGATAATCGACCACATTCGGCAAGTTTAATAGAAAAATAAAATCTATTCCAGGTTCTGGGGCGAGTCTGCAAAAATCCTGTTAGTGAAATTCTTTTCTTTGCCTACCAGTTTCACGATAGTTAGGCGCAGTCTTTTCGTTTTTCTCGCCACCACTTCTCTTTCTGCCTTCCGCTTGTCTATGATGGGGCTATACTGCATGATAGATATGCCGGGAGTGGGAGCTTCATGTCGGTATTGGCTCGGTACCCATTTGACGGAGCGGAGTCGACCGTAGGTAGTTAGTTCTACGACCCACAATCCACAAAATCGGTTAAGGTTACTCGGGATTTTGTTGGGAACCAAAAGCTCAAGATTCAAGATTGCCACAGCGGCCAAAAGCCGACAACTGGCCGTATAGCATTCTCTGCAATTCCCATAAGTCTGACACGCTATTCACGATTTCCCTGGTCTGCCAACCAGAACGACTCTGGAAAACTCCCGAAAACACGACAACACCACACGCACAATTTTCCTGGTCGTCGCTGGCTTTTCCCCACGGTATACTTAGAAAGCAGGAAAAGGCGAGTATCACCCACGTACAGCTAGCTATACGGACCGTACCGCCATCGTCTTCTCGCCCTGCGCTTTCCTCCTCTACCTTCCTGCTTTCTTGCGGAATCATCCCGCTCCTTGGCGCTCCTCTTATTAGCCGAAAGCTCATCACGTTTTCTAAGGAGTGCCCATCACGCCCTTTGAATGTTTTTATTTTGTACATTCGTAGAGTAGGTCTAAATAATCTCATAATGCTCTCTCGACCAAAATCTCAGTTCAAAGAAGTTAACTTACGTGCTTCAAAGTCACGGGACTTCTACACAATGGAAGGGCTCGGTATTTCGGACGATGAAGGATTAACTCGCGTTTCGCTTCTTCCTTGTAGCTATCAAACGTCATTGAGGGACGCACGTCCCCCTAAAGGAAACGTGATTTTCAAAAGCTGTCTGAAGTCTTTCTTGATGTACCACTCCGAGTCTGCGAAGTGTGCATGGGCGGTGGGTACGAAGTGGCTTACGAGTAGCTCGCTGACATGAATATAGGTACGGAGTAATTTGTTCTCGTTCTTGGTTTCTCATCAAATGATTTATAGCGTAATGATAAGGTCCAGAAGTTTATTCCTGAAATGACGGGTTATTTCTGCAAGTGCTTTAAATTGATATTACTTTATGAAGGAAAATATGTTAACATAACCAATAATAATAGATGCCAAAGAACTATATAAACACGAAATGTATTTGTGTGAAACGACTCATATGATATTCCACGTGAATGTCACCCCGTCGCCCCGCGATGTCATGGATGATGGGTCCAAAGATTAGGTTTTCCTTGTCACTTATTCTCAACTTGACGGAAATTAATGTCTTATTTGAACAATAATCACTTGGCATCCCAGTTTATTAATCATCTCATGTCAACCAGTAATATTATAGAGTAAATAAGTGTAATTATGTTATATCCATTAAAATTAAAGGGTAAAGACAAAAGCAGAATTACAACATGCTTTTCGAAGAGGAGCATAGGTACGTTAAAACCGAGTTGAGATATGGAACATGTCAAGGGTGTAAATGTCGCCTCTGTTGTCCCCCCTTAAACAAAAGGTTATTTTTCTGTTGGCAGCACGTACGAAGTACAAAAAATAACCTTTTGAATAAGGTGGGGGAGTAAGTGGGATATCGTCCGGTGTTTCCACAAATTCTAGTGATCCCTGGCGAGAACCTTCCTTCGACCCCCTTCATTGGTCGATGCGAAGGATAAAAGGGGAATCCGGCAGTATAAATTCCACGAAGTAAATTTACTTCAAGAAGCTTTTGCACCCTCCTCCTTGTGTCATTCGAACTTTCTCTTGTTCGTCCTGTTTTGTTACAGTTAAGCATGTGATTTCCTCAAATAGGTAGTAAACCGAGATTTAGAAGATGGGCCAAGATGTCTCGCCGGGTACATCTGGCAATTCTCCATGATATTGATTCATTGCATGAGAGTTCGCATAGACGTCTCGTACCCTTGGCAGCTCCGACGATTCGCCAATTGACTTCTTTAAAGGTTCCTCAGATCCTCTTTGTGAATCGCTGCCTCTATCATCTCCTCTCGTTGCTAGTCTTCGAATTCTTTTATTCTAGATCCACATTCTTTAACTAAAATATTGTCCCAATCATGTCTCTTTCTGGAAAGTTGCTGATTTTCGCTTCTTTATTCATACCCTCCATATCCGGGGTCAATCTTTACGTCGCAGAGACCACTGGCGCTCTTTCAACCCTCAGTCTCGTCAATTCGGGAAACACCTTCAGTCTAACCAACACTTCTTCGAGTTTTGAGTGCTCTAGTAATCCTTCATGGCTTACTCTTGATGCCCCAAACCGAATTCTCTATTGCATCGATCGGGGTATCGATCCCACTGCAAATAGAACCGGGGATACAAATGGATCAATCAACTCTTTCGTGGTAGGAGCTCAAGGGAATTTGACACGCGTTAGCAGAGTTTTGGCTCCTTTGTCTGGCGTCCATGCGTCTATCTTCGGAGCCCCGGGTCAGAAGCGAGGACTCGCTAGCGTTTCTTTGTAAGTACACAAACACCATGACTTGATGACAGACATTTCTATACTCCAGGGATGGCCTCAATTGCTAACATTTCCGGCAGTAACAAGAGTGCAATCGCTATCTACCCACTTGGCGAAGCTGGAACGGTCGAAGAAGCAGTGCAAACATTCAAGCCCACGATCGAAGCACCAGGTATAAACCCGCGACAGGACGATTCCTATCTCCATCAAGTAATCCTTGATCCCCAAAACAAATTCCTCATTATGTGTGATCTCGGTGGAGATCGCATTCGTGTTTACTCGTGGGACCAGGCCGCATTGGCCCCAATCAAGGAGCTGGAACCATTAAGGACCGGCCCAGGAGTTGGCCCTCGCCACGGGGTTTTCTGGACTTCTCCAACTGGTGCTGTTTTCCTCATGTTTGTTGGCGAAATTGATCAGAACGTGTATTCCTATTCAGTGGCCTATGGGGCTGAAGGCTTGACCTTTACAAAGGTCTGTTCGATCACAGCATTGGGGCCTGGAAATGAGAAGCCACCAGGAACAACTCCAACATCAGGAATCGCACTTACGGTTGGTTTTCGTCTCCTTTGCTTTAATACAACATAGACTAACTCACGAATTTAGCCTGATAACAGATTCATCGTTGTCTCAAACCGTGAAATTTCATTCCGAGACTCGCCTAATTTGAGGTCTAAAGATTCCGATACTCTCTCCACATTCACAATCAAACCCGACGGATCTCTGGAATTGCTCCAACTCGCTCCATCTGGAGGATACTCCCCTCGTCATTTCTCTATAAACGCAGATGGATCCTTCCTCGCTGTGGGACATCAGGGCAACAGGTCCGTTACAATCTGGCAGAGAGATGTTGCCACTGGCAAGATTATTACCGAAAAACCTGCCGCAAAGGTCCAGTTGTCGGGGGCTATCAGCTGTACTATCTGGGATGAGGACGCGCCCACCTCGTTAAGTGGGTAGAGGAAATTAGAACTGGGTTTACGATTCATGAATATACTCCTTACTGACTGACACATGTGCAAAATCTTGAGTTTGAGACGCTTTTATTAATAATTATGACTCCATGATAAAACTTTTGTCACCAGAAGAGCGCCCTGGTGTAGAACCCCCTGACGCAAATCAACTACGAGACCCCTATAATTTCGCCAACGACACTCTTGAAAATGCCCTTTGGATCAAACTTTTGGCGCACAGCAGCAAATCGTGCAAGGTGCTACAATATTGAGTCAATATTGGTCAAATTAACGGTAATAAAAGGAACCACCAAACTTACATCAGGATCCAAATTTTTAACAGCTTGCGTGAAAACGTCACGCGTATTTTTTGTCCAATGAGGGCGACAAGGAAACTCGTCAATAATGGTAGTCGCAAGATTATGATCTGTCTCGTTAGCATTTGCTGCGCACCTGTTTCAAAGAAGAAAAACCCACAAAACGGCTCATTGAACCTCAGCCTATCACCCCACGTAGGCTTGTAGCTAGGAAAATCAAACATTATAGCCCCCTTACTCCAATCCGCTCCATCCTTTGTCCCATTCGTCCAAACCTGGCCGAGTAAATCCTCATATGGCCGTCCGAATTTAATGTTGATCCCGCTTCGATACGTACTCGACATAATCAACCCTTTATCTGCTGATTCATCAAAAAGCTCTCTAACCCTCTTCAGCAAATTGTTGGCTAATGTTACTGGGACAGCAAGTTCAAGTGTGTAGGCTGAGAGTTGATAATCCCATTCTGGTTTCATTCCAGGATAGAGACCACCGATTAGAACGTCGTAGTTCCACCCGTAAACTGGCCAGTCTTTGATTACTGTATCATTGGATTTCTCGTGGAAATTAGGCTGTGCCCAAAGTCCCTCAAAGATGGTTTCCGAGAGGAAGTTGGAGGTTGCAAGGATCTTTCCAGAGTCCAGGAGGACTTTTGCGGCTGTTGCTTCGAGCGAAGTGATGGAGAAGGTGGACTGAAATCCTTCTTGAGAAGTAGAAGCTGTTTCCACGAGATCGTAGTAACGGTGATGAAATTTCTTCAAGTAGGGCCACCACCAGAAGTTTGCGGTGGCGTATGGTGCTATCATACCATAGATATCTCCATCTAGAACATCGGCTTCGGGAATACTGTGCTCAATTAGCCGTATGTCGGAGTTGGTGTAAACGAACGTTGACTTACCTCTTTTGTTGAGCATATAACTTAGTGTCCGGATAAATCTTGAACTTCAACCTTGCGATAGGACCAAGAAGTCCCAATGAAGTTGACGCGGCAAGCCAATCATCATTGGTATTGTCCCTCACTATGTGCTGAAGTGTCCCTGTTCCATCAATAATCCACATTTCCAGAACACCTGAAGCCACCATGGAATCTTCTCTCAACGAACTTCGATGAGCACCCATAGCAACCGCACCAGCAATAGTCATATTCCAATTCACCAAAGCATATCCAATAGAAGCGCCTCGTTCATGCAAATACTCAGCAAGCTCAAAAAAGGTAACTCCCGCTTCGATAGTCACAGATCCTGCTTCCAGATTGAAGTCGCTTATCCCGTAAACCTCTTCAGTGACCATAATAACTGTTTTTGGATCGTCTGAGCACATTGTGTCATACCACATATGTCCTTTCCCACTAGCCCTCACTGGGGTGTTTGATGCAGATGCATTTTTGACGATGGAAATCATTTCATCCACAGAGATAGGATGGCAAATTGCAGAGATATTGTTACAAGCCGGAGATCCCTCTCCATCGAAAGTGTTATATTGGAAGGCGGTTGCGAGGGAGGCAAACAGTAAAAGGACTGACAGATTGAAGAAAAGAGGAGACATTTTCAGAACGTCACAGACTGCAGTAGCTTCTGGAAAATAATTCTGAGAAGTGGGAACTTTTTACGATTTGTATACACCTTGTGTACGCATACCGAGGCTGCATATGACCAACCAACTGTTGAGAGGTGAATTACAGGGTTTTCTCAACAGCATGTGAGTAGCTCATCTCTCATGCCTCGTTCCCATCTGACAAAGATGATTCAAAAGAATCACAAACATCACAACAGGTCATGTGTTCCTCTTGTGTACAGTATAACATTTACACACATAGCTCGAAATTCATGTCCAACTCTCCCCAAAGCCACCAAATACAATCAGAAAACAAACATATTAAACAGGTGGGCGTCTTGGCCTTTACCTTGGGTTGCAAAATCCGGTACATGATGTATTTTAGAGGTGTTGTGTAAAGCTACAATAATATCCATTATGGCAGAAATGGTTTTGCGGGGTACCTTGCATCGCGCTACATACATGGATCATCGGACTAGGGGCACACTGGGACACCGCACCAGACCAACGCAGGTGGTGATGAATGGGGAAGGAAAGATCGTCCTATGGTTTGCATCGCATGCATAGGATTGGCCAACTATGTTGGTGGCACCTACCCATACGATCCACCGTTGCATTCTGGCTGGAAGGAAGAGGAAGGTATTGATGCGGGGAAGGGCAGGGCTCGTTCCCCGACTTGACTTGCCCTCAACACCAATTTGTGGTCACTTTACTGGTAAGGCTACTTAGTCGACTTCATCGCCCCAGCCTGGCACCACCACTTCGAAATGATGAAGGCGAGGTCGCTCTTTAGCACCTCGCTTACTTGGCATGCGCATTCTATGTTTCGGTTATTTTGATATCCGGGCGTTACAGTACCGTCACATGGATCTCTTTCCTTGACTTTCTCTTCGAATTTATGATTTCTTGGTACTTTGTCTATATATATAGTCTTAACCTGTTCGCTAAACAGGGAGAAGCCTAGATAAAATGCGAGCCGTTGCGTGCGAATCAGCGCCTACATTGCCGACCATTTGAGGAGAAGGCTACCCAGTACTTTTTCCTCTCGTAATTTCTTGGTGGCGGGCGGTATAACACGCCGTAGTTATGCTTCGCAAATTGCATGGTTATGCTCAAGCAAGAGACGCGGATATTACTTTAATCACACCTGGGTTACTCGAGCTGAACAATATATCAATAATATTATTCTGGAAGCTTTGTATAACGTCGATAGTTATAGCAGCCATCCAGGACAATTCAAATTAACATTTCTTAATTAAAGTAATTAGGTCAGGACAGTTGAGCTGATTGTACTACAGTAGAAGTTCTAGCACAATGGGTTTTCAAGGTGTGTCCAGAGCAGTGGTCGGGTCACTTACCCCGCAACAGTCAACCCAGAAGGGACGTAAGCAAAAGCTGGTGGGGGGGGTTCTGTATCGATGAGCAGGTTATTCAAGTATGTCTTTATGGCATTTTTGGCAATGCAAACCTCCGACGAAGACTGGATTAATTTCAATTGACGAGCAGCTTCCTCGTTGTCAACACAACGAGACGAAAGGGCAGGTATGACGATAAATTTAAAGGATCTTGATGGGATATTCCCTCAGCTGCGGCCAGGAGCTCCGTGAATTGTCACTTACAGGGGGTGGAACATCAACTTTTTCAACATCTTTATTTACTTATTAGAGACCCCCTATGATACTAAAAGATATATAACAAGATATAAAAGATCCAGTTACTCGTAGTCTATATATTCTACTATCAAATTAACCCGGAAAACGTATTAAGGCTATAATAGTACTAGTACTAGTTTATACTAGATAGTACGCTCTAAAAAGGAGTGTATTAGACTTGATTACTAGTAAAAGTATAAGAGTGAGAGTTCTATGGTAAAACTACTACGCTTATAACAGATATATCAATTATTTTTATAAAAGAAGGCCGTTGTCTTATAGTTTTTGCTAAATATAGCCAAAACTGCTCAAAATACAGGGTCCTATTGGATCGCTTAGCACTCTTGGTACTACGCTTGGGCCAGCCGAGGGGATAGTATCGCTCCCCTAACAATTCGCCATTTCGGAGTATCCTTTCTCTGGCTAGAGGATGCCTGCCACCTCCAGTCTATACCGACAAACCGTCTGAGGCACAGTAGGAGAAATAGTGCAAGCACATTTGTCAGAGGTGGAGGAGTATCGAGGATCATTGCTACACTAGATCTACACCCAGGTCACAGAGGAAATAGTAGATGAGGAAGGCTCAGACTCAGAAACTCAAGATGCGGCGATTGATGAGTTCACAACTCTATTTAAAACACATAAAATGTGTATACAAGATGTTCAGGGGGGCAAGACCATAGGAGACGACGAACGAATTAGCTTTCGACAGTAGATTCGGCAATGTACCGCGGTTTCTTTCAGATGATGCTGCTGAGGTTTTAGAATTTATATATCTAATATCGTATACGATAACTACTATTGGGCCATATTAATTTTGGGCGGACGGAAAAATTTTTTAATTAGAAAAAACTTTTTAATACTTATTCTTGGTATATATATACTACTTTAGGCTCCTTTCCCTCTATATATATTTTATATAAAAGGTAATTCTTCTAATTTTACTTAGATATTCTTTTTATCTTCTTTTACTTTACCTATATATATAATTAATCTTATCCCCTATAAAGACTAGATTGTGACGAAACTCAAACTATCTGACAAAGGTAATCGTTTCGACGGTTGGTATGCGGGTAAGAAGTACAGATGCGCCGGGTTGTTTACTCGGAGGCAAACTCGTCACTTGTTAACAAAGAAGTAATAACTTAATAACGTCTGTCCCTGCGTCCCGAGACACCCCCTGTAACGAGACGAATCTATAGTTTTAGAATCGCAATTTTTTTCTTAGTAACTTTACGAAGTTGTTATTCATATGTTACTTTCTTTTACTATTTGTCCCTACGGAGACCACTTAGCAATAAAAAAAGAGTGCAGGTGATTATGCTGTCGATCGTTTCACTCACGCTACCGATCGCCGCTTCTGCTGTCCCCCCCTTGTTCAATCGCGACATTTGAAGTCTTTTTAAAATTCGGAGCACTTAAGGAAAGGTCCTATAACGAAATAATATAGCTCTCTGTCCCTGCGTCCCGAGACACCCCCTGTAACGAGACGAATCTATAGTTTTAGAATCGCAATTTTTTTCTTAGTAACTTTACGAAGTTGTTATTCATATGTTACTTTCTTTTACTATTTGTCCCTACGGAGACCACTTAGCAATAAAAAAAGAGTGCAGGTGATTATGCTGTCGATCGTTTCACTCACGCTACCGATCGCCGCTTCTGCTGTCCCCCCCTTGTTCAATCGCGACATTTGAAGTCTTTTTAAAATTCGGAGCACTTAAGGAAAGGTCCTATAACGAAATAATATAGCTCCAAAATTTAAAGACACTCAGAGAGGGAAAGAATGTAGTCCGGGAGTTACGCCGGTGCGACAAGAGAGTCTAACTTACATGTTTCAGTGCTTAGTAATGTAAATTAGCCGAGATACAGTTTACTATATTCACGTCCAGGCTCGCTATATCTAAACTTAACCACGATTTCTAAGGCGCCATCACGTAAGTGGCGTAGTAGCATGTTTCTCGAACATTCCGTCGGTGCGCGGCAGCGTGCTAGTGCCTGGGCCTACGGAGTAGGAGAACGCTCTCTCGTCTCCTTCAACATTATTATCGCGACGCCAATATGGACAGAGCTAGTCAGGTATTGGCACAAGGCGTGCCACCTGGCGTGCCTACATCATACCGTGCTCTTGCAGATCATCATAGCAATGTCTCCCACTCTACTCTCCATCATCGTGCTCGCAGACGACCGTCGAGGGAAGAGAAGGCCCAAGGCCAACAGTACCTCAAACCGTACGAAGAAGAGGTTATCGTTAAGTATCTACTTAAAATGTCTAACCTTGGATATCCTATACAAATAAAGTTTATCCCTTCACTAGCCTATAGCGTCACCCGCCATCGACCTACCACCGAAAGGCCTCGTAGAGCTCCTGGTCATAACTGGGCAAAGGTTCTAGAAAAACGGCATCCAATACTACTAGCACGGAGATTCAAGGCGTTAGACTGGAATCGTTACGAGAAGAACATACATAGGAAGGTCACACACTGGTTTGAGGTAATAAAAGATGTATTACAAGATCCGGCTGTCCTGGCTGAGAATGTGTATAACATGGATGAGACCGGAGTGATGCTGTCCATGCTAGGCTCTGTCAAAGTCCTTGTAAGTAAGTATGACGAGCGAGACTATAGAGGTGCGCGAGTCAAGCGCACAACCGTGACTGCAATCGAATACATTAGTGGTAATGGTAGGTATTTGAACCCGATGATAATCTGGCCAGCGAGTACCCATCGAAGCAACTGGGCCACGTTCCCTACCCCTGGATGGCAGTATGCGTACTCCGACTCTGGATATACCGACTCTAAGATCAGCTTAGAGTGGCTCAAGCGTATATTTGATCCCGAAACCAAGGAACGAGCTAATAAGAAACTACGCGTCTTAATCTGCGACGGCTTTCGAACGCACGAGACCCTCGAAATCTTAGAGTTCTGTTTCGAGAACAAAATTCTTCTTTGTCGTCTCCCTTCTTATACCTCTCACAAGCTCTAGCCTTGTGATGTAGCAGCGTTTGCTCCACTAAAGGCAGCTTATCGCGACCAGGTTGATCGACTTGAGCAAGGAGGTATAAATACGATTGGCAAGGAGCACTTCACCTCTCTGTATAGCCCCACGAGGAAACTAGCATTCACGCTAAAGAATATTAAGGCCGGCTTCGCTGTAAGCGGTCTGTTCCCTTTTAATCCAGAGAGGGGGCTTAGAAGTATGCCTGCCCCCCCAGCTATTCTAAGACCCGATGAGGTAAAGGTAGCATCTTGTTAGCAAGACGTAGAACCGCAAACACCTGTAACACCAGTGTCAGTAGAGGCTTTTATGTTACTACAGAACCTGATCATTCAACGGGATGCTCATACGCTTGAAGAAACGAGCAAACAGAACCTAGCTAGACATTTACAGAAATGTACTAAAGCTTTCTAGAAATCCTCTGCTTAGAGTATCCTCTAAGAGGACCGAATTCAGCTCCTAACTACTATTAACAACGAAGCCAAGGTTCGACGATCGACGAAGTTATTAGTGCTAGGAAGGGCGAAGGTTATAAGCTATGAGGATCTTGAGGAAGCACGAGCGAAGCGTGCTGAAAAAGATGCTGCCAAAGAAGCCAAACAAAATAAAGGTAAGGCTAAGGGCAAACGTGGTCAGAAGTGCAAAAATGCTACGCCTAAGGCGGATGAAGTAGAGGTAGATAAAGCAGAGGCAGATGAATCGAACGCGGTTAAGACAAAACGTGGTCGGAAACGTAATAGTGCTATACTAGAGGTAGATACGCTAGAACCGAAGGTTAAGGTAGCGCGAATAAGCAACGCACCAGAGTTAGCGAGAGGCTTAGTAGCGCCGGCGCAAATGAGTGTAATACAAGTTACGCTAGATTCATTGAGAGCCCCTATGGCGCGGATGTGGTAGTAGAGGATGTAGAAGATAAGATTGCTATACTAGGCAGGCCGCGGAAGTGTTTTTAGATAATATATGCTATTGTATTATTTGGAAAGTAGTTAACTAGCATTTGGTGATAGCGGAATTAACTTATAGTAGAAAGGGCTATGTTATGTTCGATTTTTACAACTTTTTCACTTTGTTTATATAACTCGAGAAGATAGAGTAGAACATATCGCTCTTTATGCCTCGCAACTACGAATTGTGGTTTTCTCTTAGCTTATTCCTTGCCTAATTCAGGGCCCTTTAAAGCACTATAAAACGATGCAAGAGCAGCATCTAACATATTCCCTATATATACCTCCGCGTTCATAATGTTCGTCCTATTAAACTTATAACCGACAATAGTTGAATTCCCCGCATTTCCCATCGTTACACGTTCTAGAGGTAGATACGCTAGAACCGAAGGTTAAGGTAGCGCGAATAAGCAACGCACCAGAGTTAGCGAGAGGCTTAGTAGCGCCGGCGCAAATGAGTGTAATACAAGTTACGCTAGATTCATTGAGAGCCCCTATGGCGCGGATGTGGTAGTAGAGGATGTAGAAGATAAGATTGCTATACTAGGCAGGCCGCGGAAGTGTTTTTAGATAATATATGCTATTGTATTATTTGGAAAGTAGTTAACTAGCATTTGGTGATAGCGGAATTAACTTATAGTAGAAAGGGCTATGTTATGTTCGATTTTTACAACTTTTTCACTTTGTTTATATAACTCGAGAAGATAGAGTAGAACATATCGCTCTTTATGCCTCGCAACTACGAATTGTGGTTTTCTCTTAGCTTATTCCTTGCCTAATTCAGGGCCCTTTAAAGCACTATAAAACGATGCAAGAGCAGCATCTAACATATTCCCTATATATACCTCCGCGTTCATAATGTTCGTCCTATTAAACTTATAACCGACAATAGTTGAATTCCCCGCATTTCCCATCGTTACACGTGCCCTTTCGCCAATAATAGTGTTAATAAACAGGTGGCCCGAGCTAGCAGATCCAGTACTTTGATTTTCCTCTATCGCCTCTACAAGTAACTTCAAGCTGTCTTCGTCGTCAATTTCCTTAATCACCGACGCTAGCTTCTTCTGCTTCTCGAGGACGTTCAAGTTCTCGCTAATCTTCTCGAGCCTGTCAATGTTGAAACTGACAACTTGGATTAGGGTATCGAACTTCTTCTTGTCGTGTACCGCCCACTATGTCTTATTTATAATAGACATCTCTTTCTGCCGGCGGCGCTGAACGATGTGAAAGGCATCCATGATTTGGTTGAGCGCTCGAGACTCGTGAATATCCATGGCAGTGCTACTGCTTTCCGGCGTTGCCTTTAGACTGTATCGTTTCTCTAGCGCTGAGACGTCTGTGAAGGCGTCTTTGATGGACACAAGGGCCTCTCCGACAGCGCCACCGATTTGAGGCCACTTCTCGCGAAGCGCGGGGAGCTCGTACCCGTTGTTCTGAGCTCTTACAATTTCACCCTAGATATTAAGGCGCTGTTTGAGGAGGGACATTTGCGTGAGCGAGACTTCTAGGTCTCTGCCGTGATTACGTGCTAAGGTGATACAGTCGAGGCAGTCGACGCAGGTCGTGAAGAGGCTTGCGAGGCCAATCCCGCCGATTGTTAGACTTGCTATTTCGGCCATATCTTATATTCAGTTAAAGTGTGAAGTGTAGGAATTTTTTTAATAGAGTGTATAGTGGTCAGCAGTGCTAGGTTGTAGAAGATAACAGACGCAAGTATCCTTGGACGCCCTTATACAGCCCCCAAACCCCGTATATAGTACTGTGTAAGATAGGTCGTCAGCTAGATCGTATCGACCTGATCAATGGATGACCTATAACAATCGTAACTATACAATTGTTAGCTTAGAAACTAACTTTAGAAACGCGACTATGGCAGCGAAGCGAAGAGAAGAAATGTACGGACGAGAGCCGTAGCTAAGCGGGCGTCAATCCTCGGGTGGCAATGAATACCACGGCAATCACATCCTCGGCGGACAAGTATATATAGGAAACGCGAATCATACACATACGGGAGTCGAGAATCATACACATACGGGAGCCGAGAATCATTACTACAGCGGTTCGTCCTTCGTAATGCCAACAGAGGACTACTAGAAAAGTAATCAATTGCCTAGGTATAGAAGACCCGCTTAGCCTTCTACCGAACGCTGCCGACGCGCCTTTCAACTCAGTCAAACAACAAAATAAACTCCTCTGCCTTCCTAACACTCGAGTTAACCTACTACAAGAGATATACGACTGGGCTAATAGACAAGATGAGCGGTATATATTCTGGCTTAATGGTTTGGCTAGCACGGGGAAATCGACCATTGCGCGTACTATTGCCCGGAGATACTTTAAGAAAGAGCGCCTTGGGGCTAGCTTCTTCTTCTCGAGAGGTGGCGGAGATGGGGCCATGCTAGCAAGTTCTTTAAAAGCATTGCCGTGCAGCTTGCAAATCATATACCGTCTCTTCGACAATACATTTAATAGTACGATTTCTAAGCGTAAAGATATTGCTGGTCAGTCCTTCCGCGATCAATGGAACCAGCTTGTCCTCCGCCCACTGTCAATGCTAGGCAGTGGCTCGTCCTTATCCTCTTATGTGTTAATAGTCGATGCCTTAGACGAGTGCGATAATGAGCAGCATATCCGGATGATTGTGCAATTCTTAGCTGAAGCTCGATCATTATCGACGGTGCAACTTCGGGTTTTTTTGACGAGCAGGCCTGAAATTCCCATACGTCACGGAATACGCGATATCCCACAAGCTGAACACTAGGACTTGTACTCTACAATATACAGCCATCGATTGTCGATCATAATATCTCTTTATTCCTAGAAGACACTCTAGGGAGAATCAGGCAAGACTGGAATCTTGGAGCTGACTAGCCCGGCGGAGAAGTTCTAAGACAGCTGGTTGTCTATGCTAGTGGACTCTTCATCTGGGCGGCAACGGCATGTCTGTTCATCCGTGAAGGAAAGCGATTCGCACGCAAGAGACTAGATACAATTCTCCAAAGTAGCAGCAGCAGTATTACCACACCAGAGAAGCATCTCAATAAACTCTACCTTGCTGTCCTTACGCACTCGATCTCCTTGGATTTTTCGGACGAAGAGAAAGAAGAGGCATGCGATATGCTAAAGCACATACTTAGAAGTACAGTAGTGTTGTTATTACCTCTCTCTACCTCTGCATTAAGCAGGCTATTACAAGTTTCTAGGGAATATGTCGATTCGACATTCAACGACCCTCATACAATCCTTGATATTCCAGACGACCCGACTCGCCAGCTTCGCCTACACCACCCTTCGTTTCGCGACTTCATTGTTAACAAAGATCGATGTGGGAATTTCTGGGTAGATAAGAAGCAAGCACAGGGTACATTAGCTACTTGCTGTATAGAGCTGATGATGTCTAAGACACTCAAGAAAGATATATGTGAATTGCATGCTCCTGGGTATCAAGTCACTCAAGTCGAGAGTGGTCGTCTACAGCAATGCCTTCCACCCGAAGTAAAATACGCATGCCTCTACTGGGTCCAGCATCTGCAGAGGAGTGGCTCTCTGGCTTACAATAGCGATGAAGCCCACCGGTTTCTGCAAGAGCACCTACTGCACTGGCTTGAGGCGCTTGGGTGGATGGGCAGGACCTCCGAAGGGATTCAAGCAATTTTGTCCTTAGAAGCGCTTATTTCGGTAAGCATTCTCTATAATATAAAAAGTTATCTAAGTTAATTAAACATTACTTAGGCAAATGAAAGTTCTAGTTTACACTCGTTTATTCATGATACCAAACGATTTGTCCTATATAACCAGTCGGTGATTGAAAAAGCACTCCTTCAACTATACTGTTCAGCTATCATGTTTGCCCTAGAGAATAGTATAGTTAAGAGACAGTTCAAGAAAGAGATGCTACCATTGATTCAAATGAAGTCAAAAGTGCGATCAGGTTGGAGCGCGACATTGCAGACGCTCGAGGGCCACTCCAGGCCCGTCAACTCCGTGGCCTTCTCACCACATAGCATTATAGTGTTAGATAACTGGGTAACAAAGGACAAGAAACCCGTCCTTTGGCTTCCTCCAGATTATCGTCCAACATCTATAGCTGTGTAGAACGAAACAATTGTTATAGGATATTCGTTAGAGCGTATTTCCATTTTTCAACTTTAATAGAATCAATAATAGTGCTATATGGTTTGTCTTCTTCTGCTTTACAATTGTATTATATTTATTTAATAACTTTAATAGAGAGAGGTCTAGGGAAGCTGTTCCTAATATACTATTCTTAAGGCTAATAGAACATATCTTTGTAATTAGGTAGTACTATAGCTACTAGTACAAATTAGAATATTCTAGAAGCTTCTCCTATAGATGTATACGCCATTCTACGCTTACTACGCTTACTACGCGATCGTTATGTGATTAATAACGTAATAGTATCGTTTCCGGAGCTAAGCCATTTATAGATTAGTTTTAATTACCGTGTAGGTCTAGGAGTAGGCATAGAATGTAACTTATAAAAATCATGAGAAATATTAAGGTGTACACATATTTGGAGATATATAAAGTCAAAGCACCTATTAATTTTTCTACCACGTAGGGTTTTCCGGCACAGGGAGCAAAAAGTGGAGGATGTCGGTACACGGGAATTTTCCGGCAGGGTACTACGTAGCCACAAGCGTCGCAGCCATAGATTTTATTATATAATTTTACCAAGAATACTATAACTACACCGTCACTGACCAGGATCTATGATCGCTTAATTGGAGGAGGTATTATCCTTTGTAGCGACGTTGTGTGACAGGCCACGCCCTAACCCCCACAAGAGTAGTAATAGCATTATAGTATTATAATAGAACTTATATATCTACATCTAATTAATCTATGTGTTTAAAAGGCGAAAAAAACTTAATAGTGGTGTCGCACATTAAGGGGTCTTATTATAGTGTAAAAGGAGGCTCTTGTCACGAATCACGTATTCACGTGATACCTGTCATAAGAAGAGGCGCAACCCTCGACAGGCACATCCAGGGTTCTTATAGCAAATAGGGATCGTTGGAGTAGCTAAGTGATCCAGGGATTTCTCTGTATTGTTATCACGTGATATTAGGAGTTCGCCAGTTAGCCAGTTCGATTGTCGAACGAGCGAACATCGAGAGAACGAAGGTTCTATATAAGACTGGCACGTCTGCCATTAGATAGGAGCTTCGTGCTCAACTTAGTTATCAATCTTATCATATTAGTTTGACATCTTTGATACAAGTAACGAGTTCACTTCCAAGTGAACAACCCGATAGTCTTCTTCTTATCATAGCATACCAACCAGCGAACACCCAGCCAAGTTTAGTTAGCCAGTTTGAGTATTCGTTACAGCTCTCTGTAAATTTAAGGTACGGCGACGACACGAAAATAATTTTCGGAATTAATAGGTCAGGAGTGTTCGGGGGAGGTATATAATATAACTGAAATCAAAATAGATAGAAATTTTAGTGCGTTCATAGATTTTATGTCGCTTGAACTCGAAGTACCTACGATTTGTCTCGTTACAGGGGGTGTCTCGGCACGTAGGGATAGACGTTAACTAGATTGCTAAACTAAGTTGAGCACGAAGCTCCTATCTAATGGCAGACGTGCCAGTCTTATATAGAACCTTCATATCCCCAAAGTCGATCTGCATGAGTCACGTGATTTACGTACAAATAAATCCTTGGGTCGCTTAGCTATCCTACGCGATCCCTATTTGCTATAAGGACCATGATGTGCCTGTCCTGTCAGAGCGCCGTCTGGACTAACTATTCACGTGCTTAACACGTGATTCGTGACATATAATAAGAGTATTAGCTAGTATAATCCTACTACTTATAATTACTATAGCTACTATTAAAGTATCTTAGAATATAATAATACTTAATAAAAGGCTATATATTATAGCTATACTTAGTATAAGAGTAATATTAAAGAGTCTTTAAGACTAGATCAATACTATATTAATATATAAATTATAGTATAACACTACCTAGTAAGGTTAGATACTGTGAGGGTTGGAACCCATGATGGAGGCTCGGGCCATGCCCTCGCTAAGCACTGACCAAAGTCCCCGCTTAGCACTGGCCATTACCCCACCGCCAAACAGGTTTCCACCATTCCACATTTTCTTGTTTTGTTCTTCTGACATCATGTATTCGTTATTCAAGTTTCTTGCAAGTTTCTTGGAATATTCAGGAAGCTCTTCCTCTCTCTATATATAGAGGAAGAGCTCGCATGTATGTAGTCTTCACGCACTTCCTAATTCAATATTCGAAACCACACCTTTGAGCTGTTCAAGGTCTGGCCTCTCACAGATACGCCCTTATAAGAAGGGAATATTATAGCTAGGTAACGCTAATACTATATATTAGAGGGTATTCTAATAGAATTAGGCTAGGATCTAACCCGATACTTAGAGGGAGGGATATATAGTACTAGTAGTAACTTAAGTAGCGACGGCGGGGTTATAGACGACTAGGGCGAATCGGGCGACAGCGGTGTTTAGTTAGGCCCTATATATATTAGTATTATATAAAGTCTATAAGGCCTACTAAGCCTAGAATTATGTGACGACACGTGTAACCGTGTGGAGTGAACCACTGCTTGCTGTGATGAATACGGAGTCAAACGGAAACTGCTGTATTGAGCGAACAACAAAGTGAGGAAGGAAGAGAGATCCAGAGGAACGAGAGCTTAAATACAGGATGCCAGCAGCGCGCACGTGACACATACTACATGCTGCGCTACACGTGATCA